GCACCTGGAAGCTGGAGAGGGGCAGGGGAGCAAGCGAGGGTTTGGGGGGACCCCTGGCTCTGCTCGCAGCACCCCCCTGAGCAGCGAGGGCTCCCACCCCGGCAGGACAAGGCGCTGGGGTGCCCACGGTGGGGACACTGGGGACTGGTGGCAGCCAACCCCGGCTTGGTGGAGGACTCACTGCGCACCGCAGGCTCGCAGCGCTCGGCGGACCTCCTTGGACTGCCGGGCCAGGTCCCCGCTGTCCAGGCGCACCCCGATAGCCCGGTACCCCAGCTGGTGCAGGGCCAGCGCCACGGCACAGAAGTTCGGCATGCCGCTCCTGGCGTGGGCGAGGAGAGGGTTAGTGTCCCTTGCCTGGTGGGACAGGGACCCAGGGCAGGTCCAGCAGCAGGCCCAAGCCCTGCGTCACACAACAGGGATGCTGCCAGGTGGAAACATCCCTCCTTCAAGGCCACCAAGCAAGCAGGGACACATCTGTCCCCTCTGCCACGGTGGCAAAGCCACCCGGTGTCCTCACCTCCTGACGCAGTACGTGTCCAGCAGCCCCTGGAAGTCCCGCGGGAAGGTGATGGCGTAGGACACGAAGGCGGCCAGCTCGCCCCGGTTCGCCTTCTCGGCTGGGGTCTGCAGCAGCTCGCACACCCGCCCCAACCACGACTCTGCCAGGGCCAGGAAATCCACGGGCTCTCCTCCCGCCAGCGGTGACAGCTCCTGCCCAGGGGACACGGGCATTGCGCACACCGTGGCATCCTCCACGGCACCGGGAGCGCGGCCACGGGCAGAGCATCCCATCCCCTGCCCACGGTGACGCTCACCCGGGGCTGCACTTCCTCCAGCGATGTGAAGGACATGATGAAGGAGTGGGCGACGGTGCCGCGCACTGGGATGCCGTAGAGCTTCCCCGCCAGGATGTTACTGGTGTAGTCAAAGCCTGTGAGGAGGGATGGGGAGACACACGGGTGATGGCGTGGCCGCAGTGCTGCGGAGCACCGCGGGGCAGCACTCACCCCCGATGTAGGAGTACTTGGAGGCTGAAAGGGCACCGTCCGGCCCCTGAGCACGACGAAGCCCGATCTCCATCAGCTTCACCTCCGGGCTGGTGAGGAGTCGGAAGCGAGCGGCATTCGTAGCTACCAGGCTGGGGAGGAAGGGACCGGTCACACCAAGCCAGGCCGAGCACGGAGCCAGCGCACAGCCCAGGGTGGGGAGGGCTCCGGGACCCTCTGCGCTCGACCGCAGCCGTTGCGCCAGGAGGTGGCAGGGACCGCAGTGGGACTCGGAGGGTTTGGCAGAGCAGGGACAGACGCGGCCCTACCTGGCGTAGCTGACCAGGCACAGCAACGTCGTCTCCAGCAGCTGCACCACCAGCAGCGGCCCCTTCACCTGCAGGAACGGGACCTGCGGGGACAGCCGGGCGGTGACGTCCCCGTCCTCCCCGGGGACACAGGAGCCAACCAAAGCCCCCCCGAAGCAGGGGAGGGTACTGAGCTCGTCCCACCCTGGCGAAGACGACGGAGCCCTCCGGCACGGCGGAGACGGTCACCTCCGAGGCGTCCAGGCTGGCCAGGTAATCGAAGAAGGCGTCCTCCGTGGTGCTGGGCAGGACGGAGCGCAGGTAGGCGACGTCTGCAGGGACAGAGCTCAGCGGGCACCGGGGTGGGTGGTCCCCGAGCCGTGGTCCCGTGGCACAGGTCAGGCTGGAGGGAGTGACCCCCCCATGCCAGGGGCAGGTGACAGCGCCGGGGCAGGGGTGTCCCCAGCCCTTGGAGGGCACCATGGCCCTGCCACGTCCCCTCTGAGGGACTGGCCCTGGGAGCACTGTCCTCCTGGAGGGTGTCCCAGTGTCCCCCAAGTCTTCTTGAGGGCTGTCCATGTCCATGTCCCCTGAAGGGTCCCCCTCTCCCTCAGGTCCCTCTGAGGGATGTCCCTGTTGTCCCCCTGTCCCTCTTTAGCCTTCCCTGTCCTTCCAGCTTCTCCTGAAAGATGTCCCTGTCACCACCAGATCCCCCGAGGGGTCTCCTGGTCCCTCTGAGGGACGTCCCTGTCCCCCCCGAGGTGTCCCACTCTCCCCTTAAGGGACGTCCCTGTCCCCACCAACCCACCAGTTCCCACTGAAGGGTCCCCCTGTCCCTCAGGTCCCTCTGAGGGATGTCCCTGTCCCCACCAGGTCCCCTTGTCCCTCTGAGGGATGTCCCTGTCCCCACCAGGCCCCCCCGTCCCTCAGATCCCTCTGAGAGATGTTGCTGTCACTTGGAGGGTTGTCACTGTCCCCACCAGGTCCCCTTGTCCCTCTGAAGGATGTCCTTGTCCCCACCAGGCCCCCCTGAAGGGTCCCCCTGTCCCTCAGGTCCCTCTGAGGGCTGTCCCTGTCCCCACCAGGTCCCCCTGAAGGGCTGCCCTGTCCCTCAGGTCCCTCTGAGAGATGTCCCTGTCCCCCCCAGGTCCCTCTGAGAGGTCTCCTGGTCCCTCTAAAGGATGACCCTGCCCCCCC